TTTAATGAATGTCTGAGTGGCTTAGTAAATAAATACATATCATTTGAGTCATTTGAGGGAAAGTGATTTACCAAAGGTCCTATAATAAGTTCAGACCAAGACTTGAATCCTGTCTCCCACACTTAAGCCAGTATAGTGTGCCTATATGTTTTCCATTTGATCTGTTATAACTGTGCATGCTTACACACAAAACATTTGGAATGTCATGGAATTTCAGACTGATTATATGCTGAGTCAAAGATAAATTATGTCTCATGATGAATCCCATTTAATATTGTTTTTCTTTTTAATTTGTTGACATTGCAATTTTTGAATAGTCTCAGATTTTTCCTCATACCTCGGTACATTGAATATACCTTCACAATATGAAATTTGAACTCATCTTCCATGCTATACTCTAGCAACATTATTTTATTAGAAGATATTTTACCCAGAATTATAATACTTATTTATGAAATATACTTATATTATTGATGAATTATTATTGGTTCTAGATCTATAGAATATGAAATTCATTTTTGTGTTAACATTTTGCTCAGTTATGTTTTTATTTAAAATGGGTTAATTTTATGTTTTTCTCTTATACTTGAGTACCAAAACATAGTTGATTTTGATGGACTAAATTAACTACTTACATTACCTCCCTCCCTCCCTTCTTCCCTCTCTCTCTCCTTTCCTTCCTTCCTTCCTCCATCATTCAGCAATTCTCTACTTTTTGGAGTGCTGGCAATGCCCTATTCTTAACCTGTGCAATGATTGTATACTACTATGTTTTATGCACTGTTCTGCATACATATCGCATAGAATATAAAAAAGAGTAAAAGTAAAGAAACATATGGTTTTAGTCTACAGTGTATTGTAATTTGTTAACAAATATATTTGTTATACAAATCTCTTTGCTATTGCACATTTGGTGACCTCATGTCGATGGCCATGATGGGACAGTATTTACATCTCAGATGTTGGCAAATACTATGAGTCAGGGCTTCTTTTCCTCAGAGACTGGATTGTTAAGATATTGTAGCACACCCCTCATTATTGGATAATGTGTAGAAGGGTGAGGGGAGCCAGGACCGGTTTGGCTCAGTGGATAGAGCGTCGGCCTGCGGACTGAAAGGTCCTGGGTTCGATTCCAGTCAAGAGCATGTACCTTGGTTGCGGGCACATTCCCAGTGGGGGTTGTGTGGGAGGCAGCTGGTCAATGTTTCTCTCTCATCGACATTTCTAACTCTCTGTCCCTCTCAATTCCTCTCTGTGTAAAATCAATAAAATATATTTTAAAAAAAGAAAAAGAAGGGTGAGGGGATTCCTTACCCATTCAGCCATCCTTTGCTATATAAAACTCAAAGATTTCATTTAGTTCATTATATTAAGGAGATCACTGCTATGTAAGGAGTAAGAAACCAGTTGAATCTGTATTGTGAGAGGGAAACAGAATGATTTGTAGTTGTTACCAGAGGTGGTTAGTACATTCATGACTTTGTTCCAGTTGGTGATTGAATGACTGAAGGTATAATATCTACATCCTTGAAAATGGAAGAGTGAAGGGCTAATGGAAGGGCTAAATAGTGACAGGCAGGATCTCAGCCACAGGGGGTTAGAGATGAAAACAGAGTTCCATTCCTAAGAAGGAACTGGAAGTCTAGACAGGGACATTGTGCAGATGATTGATCAAGAATGGGGCACTACCTGTCTCAGGGTGTCTTGGGAAGACTACTACTTTAACACCCATTCATTTGTTTGTCACTCTTCAGTTTTTATCCGACCCTTAGAGCAATGCTTCTGAGGTAGGAGAGCGCATCAGCATTGCCGGAGGACTTGTTAACAAAGGGATTGTTGGCTTCCCCAGGGAGTATTTTATTTAGTAGGTCTCAAGAAAGACCTGAAAATGTGTGACTAACAAGATTTCAGGAGACACTGCTACTGCAGGTCCAGAAATCCCACTTTGAGGACCATTGATGGGAAGGGAAGTGAAAGGCCAGGCAGGGAAGGCGGAGACTGAGAAGTGATGGTAATGTCAGCCTCCCTAACCTGATGCTGAGCAGTCAATCATAGTCCCAAAGGTATCCCCCTCAAAAGCCTGCAGTGAGCCAGACCCTTACTCTTTGGAAGGAAATTTTAACTTTCTTGGTGGTTTCATTCCTCCTTTGTTCTAAGGTGGCTTATGGGATAAATCTATTCATCAAAAGAAATCTTGTAAGGACCTCTGCAACTCTCACTCAATGAATGGGATATACTTCTCAAAAGTAGTTCTGATGAATCAGTTTTCTCATTACATTTTCGGTAATAATTATGATTCTTATAGTATTTTATTGCCTCTGACTGCTTAGAGTTTTGTCTCTCTCAGTCTCGCTCAGAGTTTAATCCATGATGAGGAGGCAGTCCAGTCTTAGTGATGATTTAAGATGCCAGCTCTCGTTCCTAGTCTGGTGGATACCAGGTATTTGGGAATAAGACTAATTCTAGGCTCTGCTAATTAGGGAGTTGAGCTGATGACACATCTACCTTTTCAAAGATTCTGTGTGTGTGTGTGTGTGTGTGTGTGTGTGTGTGTGTGTGTGTGTGTAAAAGAGAGAGAGAGAGAGAGAGAGATTGAGAGATTGAGAGAGGAAGCTGGGATGAGAAAGGAGATATGGGAGTATGGCACAGATAGAAGAAAATATCAGAAACTGTACATTGTACTTGGTAAGAATTAGAAAATAGGGGCTACTGCAAATGTAATATTTGTCCTCTATTATAAGGTCACTATCATCTAATCATTAATAACAATGCATTAACATCTTCTATGCATATAATATATGGATACAACTTAGTAATTATATATATTTGAAAATCTATTCATCAAAAGAAATCTTGTAAGGACCTCTGCAACTCTCACTCAATGAAGGAAAGAGGCTTTGGTTAAACTTGAAAGCCTTTTTTTTTTGGATAAAAATGTCATTCTGAAACAGAAAACTACATTTCTTTTGAAATATTCTAATATGTGCAATTTCCATTAATTTAGACAGGCTTTACCAATTAGTCCAAATTGTGGAAGTTTTTCTCTCTTCACTAATGCTTTGGTCTTCCAATCTGTAGTAGGAGAGATAATAAGTAGAAGTTTAGTGGGAAACTGTGCATAGGAAGAGGAGTAAAGGTTAGGAAGATGTTTGCATCACACCTTGAAGCATGCCTAGCTTTCATTTACTAGCTCTGGCTTTCTAGTTTATTGTTATATAAGTAGATTTGTATTCCATTAGTTGTTCTCTACCCTAACCACACACTGAGGCACCTCAGTTTCACCCCTAGATCTTCTAGTTTAATTGGTCTAGGATGGGATTAAGAATTGGAAATTTTTTTAAAAGCTCGATAGATGATTTTAATGTGCAGCCAAGTTGAGGCCATTGCACTAGAGAAAAGCAAAAAATCATAACAACTTAGAATTACTGAACAATACCTCTTGACAATTTTTCAAGATCAGGGGCAAAATCTGATGATTAGAGTGATTTACAGTTTACTTCAGTTCCTTAACATCTTGTGACATGGGTGAGGGATGCTGGGACTTTATATTAATTCTGTAAATTTATTTGCTACATAAGTCAGTTATTTTCAGAATATTTGTGTTGGGTTATATATTGTTGAACACTTGACAGGAAATTCTTTGTTTCCTTTTGTGGATATGGTGTATTGGATTTTGTAGCATGAGCATGATACATTTGCATTTTTAATTCAGTTCTTTTCCTTTCATACACAATTTGACCCTAGCTCAGCTTTCATGCCTTTTTTGTTTTGTTTTGTTTTGTTTCCAGAGCAATTTATTCATTAAGATTAAGTCAATATACCATCAGTAGTTCTCCTGTGTATTGTACTGATAAATTGACACAAAGTATTTAACAAGTTTGTCATTTAATAAGTCTGAATTCACTTTCATAACATGGTATTGTACAGAGTCATCTGTTGGAACAGATTTCTTTTGAACAAATCTTGTTTAAAAAAGTCATTGATAATGTGAGTTCTGTATAAACTGGTGGATAGGTAAGTTAGTTCTTTAGTTTTGACTTCACAGCAGAATAAAGACTGTAGGCCAAAGAAAACATAATCGCTCAGTTGTATAGAACAGTATGGTTTCTATGATTTGGAGCTTTCTGAATGGATGGTTTCAGTTCAGGTCTGATGAAGCTGTAAAAAGATTACTTAATGAATACACTATATTGAAAATGTGAAAAATGTTATTAACTGATTAATAGCTTAAACAGCACTCTGTTACTAATTGCTATTCAAACTAAAAAACCTAGTTTTGAATCCTCAAGAAGGTGGCATGGGTACACAACCATACCTCCTTGTATTTGGGGGTGTATCAATACATATTTCAACAGACATTTTGGCTTTAGGAAAGAGTCACAAACATTTAAAAAATGACTTTAATTGCTATTTTAGGTATATGGCAGAGGAAAGTGTTTAATTAAACATACATTATACCAGTGATGCTGACAAGGTAGAAAATTACTCCTATTATTGATAGCTATAAAACTAGTTTGTACCTGACAAGACACAGAGAAATAAGCAATCCCTTTGAAACGAATCCTTTAAAAAATATTCATAGTGATTTGTGTCAACAATATGCATTTTATGACAACAACGTGTCCAGACTGAGCTCTCTAGGGCTCTCTTTAAAAAACGAGCATTTACATCATTCCTGGGTTGTACTGAATTAAAAAAAGAAGGTCAGTTGCACTTACCCCTCAGACAGGATAAACTGCCCGGGGTGCACAGCTTTAACACCACCATTAAATTTGTTTGCAAAAGGAAGAGAGAATTAAAAAACAAAACTTTTTTTCTTGGGAGTGAAGTCTTTCATTTGCTGTTATAATCAGCAAATGCCATTCATTAACTGAAAAATGGAAGGGAGGGTGCCATAAACACACTATTTGAGCAAGCTGACTAATATACATTACAATTTTTAAAATGAAGGTTGTACACTATATGTTACAAGTACCAACTAGGCAGTGTCAAAATGATATCTATTGCTTTGCTTGCTTTGTGATCATACCCCTTGGAGGTGTTACGGGTCTCCTGGCACTCTGCTTCCTTTTCTCCGCCGGCTTTAAAATCTGAAAAGAGCACAGTAATGTATTGTCCACACTCATCATGGCACCCACATTGTCAAACTCTTTACAGTAATTGGGTGCCGAAAACAGAGTGACCAACTGCCTCTTTGCAAAAAATTCATATCCATCTTCTACCACCTGGTGGGCTCTACATATAAGACCCAAATCATGCTTCTGCAGAAATTTTGTAACCACTTCGGCATCAAATGTGCAGGACACCCCTCTGTCATTTTTACCCCAGCCCAAGACATCCTTATTGGGGTCCGACCACAAAAGATCACAAAGAAGACCTCGATCTGGTATATCAGTTGGTCGAATAATTCCTCGAATCTGCTCCATAGATTGAAGATCTGGTGATAAACCTCCATGACAGCAAAATATTCTCTCATCCACGATGGCTGCTACTGGTAAACAGTTAAAGCAGTCTGTGAAGGTTTTCCACAGTTTAATGTTGTATCTCCTTTTACATTCATCGTAAAACCCGTAAGTCTTGTTGATGCTGGCACATTCGTGGTTTCCTCTGAGAAGGAAGAAATTCTCAGGATATTTGATCTTGTAGGCCAGTAAGAGGCAGATAGTCTCCAGCGACTGCTTCCCCCTGTCCACATAGTCCCCGAGAAACAGGTAGTTGCTTTCTGGCGGGAAACCACCCAAACCAAAGAGTCGAAGCAAATCATGGTATTGCCCATTGATATCGCCGCATATTTTGAGTGGTGCTTTGAGCTCCAGTAGGATGGGCTGGTGCAGAAAGATCTGTTGAGATTTTAAGCACAGTCCCCGGATTTCATCCTCCGGGAGCTGGATACTCTTACAAGGCTCAGACTCTCCCACTTCCAGCAGCCGTTGGATGATGCTGTCAACGAAGTTGATGTTATCTGTATCCGCCATCACCTTCCACCGCCCCTCGCCACCCCCCCCCCCCACAGGTGGGAGGTGGCTCGCGCCCGGGACTCACACCCCTTTCCCACTCCTCCAGCAGAGGCTGCGAACTGCCCGCTCCCTGCTTCCTCCTCTGTCTCCACTGGAACCAGGAGAGTCCTCCCTTCTCTCTCGGCCTGTGTGCTCTGTAAAGAATTTCAGGCTCAGTTTGCTTTTATCTTTGCTTTTGTCACCCTTGTTTGTTTTGACTTACTCCTCGCTTTCAGGATGTTCCCAGTGCATTCCTAACGTTGGGGCCTTTACTATGCTGAGGTGACATGGACCTCCCCGCAGAGAACTGTGGGCACCGGAGGACTGCCATCCTGCTCCTCTAATAAAAAGTCACAGTGTAGGGTGAGGAGATTGACCTGGGCACCTCCCTTTTGCCGCCTGCGCCCGCGGAACTCCGAGCACAGTCCTTCTGATGCGAGGGCAAGTGGGGCCCGTTGCTCTTCGCCTTTCCCTGTGGGTTGTGCCAGCCCGGGCCTGCGTTAGGAGACTAGCAGACCGGCCACAGCACAGCTGCGGGAAGTTTTGCTGGTGTGAGCGCCGCCACTGTGGTTCCGGGCCGGCTTGTTTGATGGCCACGGTGGGTGCTTCCGTAGGGCGGGCAGCTCACGTCTTCGGAACAAGCGTGTCTCAGACAGGATGCAAACTCTGAGCTGCAGGTCATGCGGCTACTCAAAGCTTTTGCTATTGTAGAACTGGGCCCAGCGGCAAATGGAAGCGAGCATAGCTCACGAAATGGCACGGTTCACCAGCTGCCAGTATGTGGATCAGGAGCTTGATGCTTCTGCCTCTGACGAATCTGTGGTCATCTTAATAGATTCACCAATGAAAGAATGGAAGTGTAGGGAAAAAAATGCAGTGGGATATTTATTCGGTCAGGTTTTCTCCAGATGGTCAAGTGACAGGGGAAGAGAGGTTTTTCAGAAGCCGTAGCTGGGAATGTTAAATCTTGCCATGGTCAGAAACTAAGACCATTTCCCAAGAGAGAATTCCTGTGGGGTGCCTTGTGGAAACAACTTTGGTCCATTCACTCTTTCCAGCGCGGATGGCTATTTGCAGAGAGAGCGGAGGCTTTGGGTTTAATCTCCGTATCCACTGTCACGCATAACCAGGGACATCATTCCTTAAACATGGGTTGCAATTCAGCCAATCCAAGTATAAAGGGGGCTCTGTTCCCTCATGCATAATCCTGTATCATTGCTTTGTATCAGTGTTGACAACAATTTAGATGATTGTTGCTAATCCTGCTCTCATAAAAACATGAAGTTAACAAAAACATTTTCATCGGAGTATTTGAAAACGACAGATCCCCAAAGCATTGTATATATAATTAACCCTCTCAGTTCAAAGGATCTAAGTTCCACCATGTGCTGTTAAATGAGGTACAGTTCTTACGGGATAACTTCCCAGGATTTGGGGCACTTGTTGCAGGACGCTTATGCTTGTCTACAAATTTGTTGTTGGGATGATGCTTCACCCACTCGTGAGCCAATCCTCTTCTCCAAGCCTCCTCATGTAATTTCTGGAGAAAAGGTTTCTTTTGCACTAGTATATTTTCCACACATGGAGGCATAGACAGTTTACACTGATTTCTTTCACTGATAGTGGCAACAGGTTAAAATGTAAGTGAAAAGTTAATGAAATTTTAGAGGTGATTTAGAAAAGTGTGCACAGCTAATACATGTGTTTACACATGTATGAATATGTGTGGAGTTTGTTGATGTTATATATCCATGCTTAATATCTCCTCCACTACTTAAGTTCAAGCTCCTTCATGCCATTCCCCCCCCCCCCCCCCCAATTTGGCATGTATTTCATTTGGTAAGCCCCTTTGAGCTCATTGTATGCAAAGAAAGATGAGAAGATCAAGCAAAGTATTCTTTACTGCTCACAGATTTCATCCAGAAGCAGAAGACTTCTTCCTCTTGCATTTCTTCCCCTCTTCCTCCCACCCTCACAAAGACAATTTAAGAGTTTCCTATGAACAAGATGGTGGTTTTGTTTTATCTGCCTTAAAAAACTAACAGATATGTTTATTAAATGTTATTTCTTAGTTAACAGGAGTATTGGATCCAAATGTTGACTGAGAGAAGATTACTTTTATTTCTCCTTCTCTCTCCCATCCCCATGGCAATCTATTTCTCTAAGACTATCTTATATCTGTCCCCTTTCTCCCTTAATTGACTTTTCAAAACCAGAATTTAAATTTCTTTCATTCTCAGTATTATGGGATGTGTCTATTAGTATGGCTTACTTTTGCCCCAACATCTATTATAGTGCTTTATATATTAATATTATATGCAATCAAATCTGAAGAAATAAATACACACTTCATAAATGTTCACTGTATTTAATTGCCTTAGTTCTTTGAGATAACTCTTCTCCATGCTGCTTTTCAGTGAGATAAGGACAATATTTGTTGACTTTTCTCCCTCTTCTAGACTCTGGTGATACAATTAATTTTTTTTTCTTTGTGCATTTTTCAATTAGGACAGCCACACTGTTTTTTGCAAATATTATCTCTAATCCTACCAGACCTACTGCATATTTGCAAATATCTCCTCTTTCATGTGTCTGATGTAGAATAATCTTATATTCATGCTTTTGAAGAAAAACATGTTTCGTTGAGTTTTGATGCAACTAGGAAAGGCAAGGAGAGATTTCTGATTGATAATTCTTTCTAAAATTCGAGGCTCTCTTGTTTGGCGAAGCCATGGAGAGAATGCAGATAATAAAATTACCAGGCCAGAGGACAGGTCTTTTGTGTGATTGTAATTTAAGGGACAATCAGCACTCATTCTTTGGAAACATTCACTGAGCACTTGGGGAGCACTGGAGTGTAACAGGCAGTGTGAGCAGTCCAGGCTCTGCCTTCCTGCAGCCAACTTCAGTTTTTGTGGGCCTATGCACATGTATGTTTTATAAAGCTAACGAATACATGTAGAACATAGTTTCTATGAGTGATGAGAATAGTGAAACTACATCAAGCAAGTTCAGAGAATAAAGAGCAGTGGGATCCTATAGGCCTCAGCTTGCATTTTTAGAGAAGGTTTATTTGAGAAGACATTTGAGTAGAGACCTAAGGTGAAGTGAGGGGTGAGACATGTAGGAAAGAGAGTTCTAGGCAGGGGAGCCCCAAATGAAAAAACGCTAAATTGAGAGTGAGTCTTGCAGGCTGGATGAAAGGTAAGCTTGCATGGCAGATAGAGTGAGTGAGGCGAGTGTGGAGGAGTGTGGACAGAGGGGATGGCCCATAATGGTGCATGTGTTAGCTGCTCAGTAAATGGAGATCATGCTACTCTAATGGTTAAAACTTTTGATGGGTTGTATTGCTCTTAGTAAGAAGATGCAAATGCTTGAATGAAAACTTATTCCTCCAGGTTCCCAAATTCTCTCTGTTCCGGACACCTCCGCCTTCTTTTGCTCCTTTCTCTCACTATTCTTCTTGCCACAGGGCCTTTGTCAGTGGCAAGTCCCACTGCCTGGAGGTGTCTCCACCCTCAAACCTTTGCTCCTTGAAATTCAGCTTCATTATCAATTCCTTACAGAAGACTTCCCAGTATCATTTCTGTTATATGTACTCAGAGTATCATCTATTCCTTCTTCAAAAACACTTATCAGAATTTCAACTTTGCATTTATTGTGTGTGGTTGTTTAATTAATGTCTTTTTCTGCTACTAAATTAAACTCCATGAAGCCCGAAACCATGACTGTTTTCTCCACTACGTTATCTCTCTTGTCTGGCGCAGCATCTGCTGCACAGTAGTTGCTCAGGAAATATTTGAATAGTTCTTCCCCCACCACCACCACCATTTTTCCTTTCATCTTTTATTTTTCTTCTCTTTTTTCAGTCCTCTCTTTTCCTTTTTACCTTTCCACTCTTTCTTTATTCAGAGAGGACATGGCCACTGCAGCAGCCCCTTATCCGCAGCTTCTCTTTCTGCAGTTTTTGTTAATCCTCACCAGAGGCTATTTTCCCCATTGAGTCTTTTCTTCTTCTTCTTCTTCTTCTTCTTCTTCTTCTTCTTCTTCTTCTTCTTCTTCTTCTTCTTCTTCTTCTTCTTCTTCTTTTTTTATGAGTGGAAGGGAGGGAGGAGGGGGAGAGAGAGAAAGAGAAAAAAGAAATAAACATTGACTGATGATGTGAGAGAGATATATTGATTGGTTGTCTCCTGCATGCGCCCGACAAGGCCTGGAGATCAAACCTGCAACCCAAGTAGGTGCCCTTGACCAGGAATCCAACCAGTGACCTTTCTGTGCATGAGCCAACTCTTTAACTACTGAGCAACACCAGCCAGGACTTTTTCCACAGTTTTGGTTACTTGCAGTCAACTGAAGTCTGAAAATATTAAAATGAGAATTCCAGAAATAAAAAAGTCATGTTTTAATTTATACACCATTCTGAGTAGTGTAATGAAAGCTCATGCTGTTGTGCTCCGTCCCTTTGTCCAGTGTCTCATCATTGTACACCCACCCCACCTGTCAATCACTTAGTCACCATCTTGGTTATTAGGCCCACTGGCCGATATCTCAGTGCTCAAGTCACCCTATGTTCCTTACTAATACCCCAAATCACAAGAGTAGTGATGTTGGTGATTCACATATGCAAAAGAGAAGCCATAAAATGCTTTCTTTAAGTGAAAAGGTGAGTACAATAAGATATTTTGAGAGACTACATTTCACTTAACTTTTATTACAATATTCTATATATATAAAATCTTAATATGCAAATAGACCAAATGGCGGAACAACCGAACAACCAGTTGCTGTGATGTGTGCTGACCACCAGGGGGGTGCACGCACGGAGCATGGTGGGTGTTGGTCACAGCAGGATGGTGGAGCAGGTGAGCGGGGGCACCAGGCCAAAGTAGGGTGCTAGTCGCTGTCATTGGGTTGAGCCTCTGATGGTTACTGAAAATTCTTTGCTCCTATGCACTGTGGTCCCAGCTGGCACAACCACC